TTTCCCATCAGTTTTTTCCTCCCCATCAGCCTTTCCCATCAGTTTTTCCTCCCCATCAGCCTTTCCCATCAGTTTTTCCTCCCCATCGGCCTTTCTCATCAGGCTTCCTCCCATCAGCCTCGCACGCGTACGTGTACAAGAGACATGCATTTCATCCTGCCTTTCCTCCTTGACTGGTATATATATATATATATGTATGTATATACATGTATATCCATGTGTATAGCTGCGCGTCTGTGCTTGTATGTTTACATTTTTGTTCATGTTACCCCTGTTCTGTGTTTTTCTGTTTGTTCGAAGTTTTTTTTTTCGCTTTCATTGCCTGCCGTCTCCTGATGCCATCGTTCACAGGCAGGGGCTGGGCTCTGCGTGTGCGCCTTGCTGGCCAAAGCACACACGCCGAGAGAAAGAGAGGCGGAAAGAAGGGAGAGAGAAAGAGGGAGAGACTGTCGTGACTACACTGTCTCCAGTAGGACGTGGTAATGGACGCTATATATATATATATATATAACCTTGTGCGTTTATTACTTCTGTACATGAATAAACCCCTATGCATCTATGCAGCGGTGTGCATGTGCGCACAATCGCGCACCCCCTGTCACTCCATTTCCTGCTGCTTCTGGTGGACTGCCCCTGTTCAACCTCTTTCTCTTTTTCGCCGCCTCTTATTATTATTATTCTTCCGTCTTAGGCGTTTCTTTTTGCAGGCATGTTTGTAAGTAGGACGCGTGCTCCCTCGCCGGCGCCGTAGGCGCCTCCGCACACCAACGAGGGCCTCTGCCTCCCAGGCGGCGCCGCCGCCCTACGTGCTGTTTCCTCTCCCCCGCTGCCGGTTGGGGGGTTTCTCTGATGCCCCGCGCCCCCTCCGACCGTATGCGTGTGTGTGTCGTCGCACTTCTCCCGCGGCCGGCCAGCCGCTCACGCCTCCCTGCCACTTCCCTCCCGACTCCGTCGCACGCCCTCATTTTTTTTCTTTTATTGTATTTTTTTTTCTTGGCGCCTGGGCAGTGGGTAGTGAAGGAAGGAAAACAAAAGGGAGGCGACGCGGCTGTGACGGGGGATGGCGCTGTTCTCCGCCTCGTTTGGCGGCCTCTGCCCCTCAGTGCGTGAGGCGCCGCCGCCGCCGAAGGAGACCCGCGCGGGAACGCCGGGCGCGGCGGCAACGCAGCACCTGCGCGTCGCCCCGGCGGCCCCGCAGCCACGGCGCTGCACCACTGCGGGGCCCGCCGGCGGCGCCTCGAGAGCCGCCAGCGGGTTTGCGGCAACGACGCCGCCGCTGCCGCCTCGCGCTGGCGCCGGTGCCGCGGGCTCGCGGTGGCGCGCGGCGCCGACGGTGCCGCTCTGGCCGGCCTTCTCCTCGCCGACGGAGCCGCAGCTGCCGGCACGCGGCAGGCGGGGGAGCGAGGGTGCTGGCGCGGCGGAGGATGGGCTGCAGGTGACGCCGCACGCGGCCGCGCTGGGGGCCCGGCCCCGGGTGCGGGACTACGCCCCCCGCCACGCCCAACTCTTGTCGCTGGAGCGTGAGCAGCACCGCGTGGCGACGGATCGGCTGCACCAGCGGGCGCAGGAGCTGCGGCAGAAGTGGACGCAGGAGCGCGAGGCCCACGCGGCGACCACGCTGCGCCTCTTCAAGGCGCAGACAGACTTGTGCTTGCAGCAGGAGGAGTCCGCGCGACACGCCCTCGCGGCCGCGGAGGCGGAGGGTAGACTCGAGCTCGTGCAACGTGGCGGAGGTGCGGCGGCGGGGAAGCGCAGGTGCAGGGCACACGGCGCCGCCCCGCGCGTGCCCACATTCCCCGCCGACTCTCACGCCGGGCCGTGTTTCCTGTACGCCTACGACAGCGACCTGCTGCGGGCCCTGCAGCGCTCGGAGGCGTACATTGTGCGACTTGAGAGGTACTTCCAGGAGCGACTTCACCCCTGCACCGAGGCGGCGTCCTCCGACTCTGCCTGCACGCACAACAGCACATGTAGTGAGGCGAGTGAGGAGGCGAGCGGTGGCGCCGCGCGCGAGGGCGTCATTGCGCCTTATGCTCCGCTTAGTCCATACATTCGCACCCTTACCTGACGCGCCTCGCAGTGGGTTGCGGCCTCTGCGGGGCGGGAACTACGGGTGGAGATAGCGAGTATGAAGGCTAAATAAGAGACAAAAAAGAAAGAAAGAAAGAGAAAAAAAAGGTCTGGCGGACACACACACGCTGGCGTGCGTGTGTAAGTGTGTATGTTTACGTGCGTGTGCGTGTGTGGAGGGTTTGCTGGAGCCAGAGGCGCGTTTTTAGTGTCGGCGTCTGAGCGCGGACGCAAAGGCGCGGGGAGTGGCGCGGGGGGGGTGCGAGATCGCGTGCTGTCGCGCCAGCGATTTTTTGTATGTATGTATGCGTCGCATGTCCGGCGTTGTCTTGCCGTTGCAAGATTTCCACGACTTCTCGTGTTTCTTACGTTTTCCTTTCCTTTACCCCTTTCTATCTGTGTCAGCGTGTGCGTGTGCGTGTGTCTGTGGGAGTTCCACGGCACCATGTGCGGCACGCCTGATTTCCTTTTTTTATTTTTGTTTTTTTGCGTGGCCCTATTTTCCATTCTTGCTTCCACCGCTGCAGCAGCTGCCTCTCCTCCTCCTCCTCCTCGTTGTTGTTGTTGTTGTTGTTGGCCTCCGGTTTTTATTTATTTATTACGTACCTCTCCGGCGTCGCGCCCGCAACTCGCGGCGCGTGGCGGTAGCCGCCCGCCCATGCGCACACTTTACATGCGCCCCGACCCGCCCCACCCGCTCTCTGCCTCTCTCTTCCTCTTCCTCCATCTCCCTCTGCCTGTCTGCGTGCCTGCGTGGGAGGAAGCGGAAGAGGGGAACCCACACACACACACACACACACACACACACACACACACACACACACACACACACACACACACACACACACACACACACACACACACACACACACACACACACACACACACACACACACACACACACACACACACACACACACACACACACACACACACACACACACACACACACACACACACAC